GAGACAGCTGCTCAGTTGAAACCACACATGGTAGTGTTTCGTAAAACATCCAAAGAAACAAAAATGATGAAGTGAAATTCGTAAAAAAAAAAGTTCGCGACAAAGAAATGTCTGCTTTTCAGGTGCTCACGGAAGCTGGCAAACTGAGGAGTAGCTAGCTCTGCATAGAGCGGAATGTTTCAATACTCATTCCCTTTTCCTACTCAATTTTTAACTAGGAGATGTAGAGAAATTCATAATGCAGTCAAAGGAACGAAAGGAGCACACGACAAAATTTAAACAGCATTAGGCCGACCGAGCCTAGGATCTTGGACCTGTCCGAAGGACGGGAGCTCTTGACGACGACATCGTGGCGCTGTGTGTTTGCCGCGCGTCCGTGGCCGTCATAGACAGCGGAACTCGTTTTACTCCAAAAAAGAAGAAGCCCATTACACTTCGATCACTAAACGTAGAACACAGCGCGAGCGGTTGTATGCGTATGTCCTTGCACGGCGCTAGGTGACTATGTGCGTTCTATCACTTCACTTTCGTTACACCCCTTTCTTTCTATTCTTCTGTCTTCAAATAGCGCGAGTGGTCACGGAGGAGAAGCTGTCCACGGCCTCTGCGCTGTTGTGGAACTTCTAGTCCGCCGAGTAGCGGAGATTCGCTCGCAATCGGAAAAATGCTGGATAAAGTTCTTCGCTTGAAAAGTTCAAAAAGCTGTGTATGATAACTACAGACCAATGCCTCGAATCAATTTTGCACTGATGCTTGATGATCTTTCAGGCTTCCTCTCTTCCAAAGAATATAAACCTCATAACATGTAGCGCTTGCCTCCGACACGGATTCGAGCAGACCTATTATGTTGAGCAAATCGAAGTGAGCAGACCTATTATGTTGAGCAAATCGAAGTACATGTTTCATGTACATTCCTTATGAGCCAAGCGTTTCTGATTACGAAAAGTGGGGGTTTGGTATACCAATGAACATAGACAGTACACACTCCTAATACTGAGCAGAATGGATAAATTTTACAACCTAGCCAATACCATAATATGTTGACGCCGCCATTTTTCGATTCTACTTTTCAATGCTAGCCTTGTACAGCTCGCGTTATCTGAATGATTCAAGACTTCTTTTGTTCCCTTTACGAATGCCTGCCTATGCGTTCGTTAGCTTTTTAATCCGGCGATCATTACTGATCACATTTGAAACAAGCCTGTAATCCCCTGATATGGCAGTGATTGGGACTGAGCTAATTTGAAAGAAGAACAACATTGTTTCGAAAATCACATTGGCAAAAAAAGCTCCCCCATATCTTTGGATAAATGCTCGAATAGCTTTGAGATATGGTTAGGGCCTTCAGTGTCACCCGTACTACATGGTGAAGCGAGCCAAGCTCTTATATTACACCATTATGACGTTGGATTGAATAATCTGAACCCGAAATCGAAGGAACTGCACTCTTGTGCCAGAGACAATAACAAAAACGTTTGCCTGGACCGGTTTACGACCTGAAGGCTTTATAAACAATGAGAGTGAAGCAACCTTCCGTTTCTTATCTTTTGACAGAACAATAATAAGGACCTCCAAGTATTGAGAGTTGAAAAACGGCCCTCTTCTGAGTGGTGATGGAAAAAGTCCAATCACTGAGCGAATAAATGATTCAAAGTCTGTCTCTCTACGAGTTGCGCTGACCTTGAACGAGTTGCGCCCCGCAACCGTCGTAGAAGAGAAGAATCTCGTTTGACGAGTATGCCACATGGCCGTGGCGTTCGAGCCGAAGCGATTAAGAGAAATCATCGTAACATCTCACAAATATCGTTTTTCGAGTCTTCCTATCAAGGTTCCGTCCTATCTTCCTAACATTCCCCAATCTATCTCACAGCTAGGTTGCCGGAAATGGAAATAGACAGCAAGACAGTAGAATACTGGTTCTGGCACGGTTACTGAGCACACAGAGATGAATGAAAGAGTCTCCTGCTATTGATCAGTGCTGCTCTGGGACTATTCAATATGAAAAGATCCAGCTACTCATTTGCAATAAACTTCATCCCATCCATACCGTATACAGCGATTGCAACATTTGAATGCACATTTGGTTGTGCTTTTTCTTGTCAAATTGCAAATAACTGTAAAACTTTTCATTTTCAACTTGCTTGAACAGTCGTCAAGGGGCTCAACCAAGGTGACAGGACAAAGCTAGTTCATTAGGCCTATGTTACCTCATCACCTGCCATCATGTCCGTCATCGATTTGCACGACACTACCTTTCCATTCGATCCCTGTCGGACATGAGACAATTATCCCTTTTGTTTGGAATGTTTGTGAAGAAGACAGACCATTGGCATGCAACTGTCTTGAAGTTCGTTTGACGTCTCGGTCAGTAACCACCTTGATCCTACAGTGATGACGCCAGCTGCATGTCATCCTGCTTATCTAGAGTCCGAGAAAGTGCGTGAAAGTAGGAAGGACCGCAGTATCGAAAAGGTGAGCGCTGAGCCAGATGTTGTCTATCCACTTCTCCTTCTATATTATCAAGTGCTCCCCACGTGGCGCGTTTCTTTCTTCCTGCTCAGCTCAGGAGCTACGCCATTCATCATGTTGACTTCCCGACCTATATTCATGTAGTTAAAGCATTCAGAGATATTCGTTCTATTCAGCATGAAAATAGCATCAGAAACCATTCCATGTTTCGCATGAACATCGTCTTCGTTAGGTTCAGTCGAAGACCGATCTTTTCACAAGCGTCGTCGAATTTGCTCAGCATCTGTTCCGCGTGCACAATGTTAGGTGTTATAAGCACGATGATCATCTGCAAAGCGCGGATCATGCAAGCATTGGCCGTTGACCTTAACTTCCATGCCTTCCCATTCCATATGACGCATGATGTTCTCGACAGCGGTACTGAAAAATTTGGCCGAGATGGTATCGCTCTGTTGAAACCCCCCCCCCCCCTTCACGGTGACTTCTTTATAGAGCGGCGAGATCTCGGTCGCAAAGTTGTTGTATAGCTCACGGAGCATCCTTATATATTTAGTAGGAACACCCTAGTCGGCCAGGGCTTCGATTACCGCTTCTGTCTCAAAGGTATCAAAAGCTTTCTCCGAATGAACGTGAAACATAACATTTTGCACGCGATAATTCAATGAGTCTTCCAACCGTGTGGATGTGACCGACTGTACTGAGCCCTCCCCAAAGCCTTGCTTGCTCGCATGGCTTCACCCCTCATCTCAACAAAAGCTTTTCTTGAAGGGGTGAGCCAAATTAGAAGCATGCATTAGGGAATTCGCTGCATTAGAATACTACGGGAATAGGTTTTCAGGTTTTCAAGTTCATAAGAAATGTTTTATGAGTTTTTTCTTCAAATTTTGACCGTTTCATAGCATACTTCAACTTTACATAACAGTTTATTTATACGAACTCAACAATGTACTTCATGAATATCAATAACCAACTGGTGCATCCTGTTTAAATGACAGTGACAGTATCAGTATGTACGGCATTCCCATTGTTAAGTCCTTGAAGACTGTAGGGTCGATGTTTCTCCATGCCTCCATGACCGCCCATCACTGCTCGTCGATGGGGGAAAGCTGCCTGCTGTCGGCGTACACCCATCGCACAATTATTCCCCAAAAGTTTTTCATTGGATTCAGATCAGGAGTGCACCCACGCCATTCCATAACATCAACTTTCTGTCGCTGCGAATATGCGGATGTTGACTTGCTAGCATGAACATTTGTATTGCCCCGCTGGAAGACCAGCCTCGTCGCCTGCAGCTCAGAATTGGGATATCTTGGATTCCTGAACTTGTTGGTACTCTTGCGAGTCGATTCGATAGGATACAAATACGAGCTCCAGCTTGCTATCCGCTCTAGCCTCTATAAACCATCAGCGAACGCTACAGGAGTTGCGCCTCCTGAACTGCAGTGGGTCCTTTCTCAAATCGCGCCAATACATCTTGCTCCACCGGGTCCGTCCAAGTTACACTTCTCCTCGTCGGACTTACCTGAAGACTTCAAATTATTTCACAGTGCACGAGTTGCGCCTCGCTTCACGACTACAACTATTGCTAATCCGTGGTCGCATCCATTTGAGCAAATTCAAGACGAGCCATCCTGTGTGAATCGGTTAGGTTTTTCACAATGCTGCCGCTGCGTATGAGCGCTCTCCAAACGGTCGTTTTCGACGCAGAGAGTTTCAAGTCTGCACGGATCTGTTTGGCGATGGTGGTGGTGTTTGAAGCTCTTCTCCCTATTTCTCGTTCATCTCTGTAGACAATTTGCGTTGCGTTGACGTCCACGAACACCACCGCTGCAGGCTTCAGAATCTCTAAGGTAGGGGCAAAACGCAGTGAGTTCCGCCAATTTGCCTGGCCCTGGCAATGTGTTGATTGCTGAGCTCGGCCTTGTGGAGAGCTCGAATTTGGGTCTTTTCTTTTGCAGAGAGAAAGAGACCACGCGGGGTCATAAGAAGACTCGCCTCATGATTTTGGCGCGGGCATATACCCCGGTTGGAAAATTGGAATTTTTTTCTCGAGCCATATATAAGCGGTGGATGTATTATATTATGAAACGAACGAAATTAGATAGATAACTCCAAAAAACTTCCTTGTTGACTTGCCTGACTAAAAAGATGTTGTTCACTGTTTTCTTGAGTCATGAATCTGATCATGTGTGCTGCTGAGTTAGGTCAGTTCTTTTAGAAAAAATTTTGTCCAATGGATGGGTGGGCGTATACCATTGAAATGCACTGCGTTGGGCGTTAATTTTCAGTCTTCTCGAACTCACTTCTTATTCACCAATACAATCTAGCTAGTATTCCACGAAGTGGGCACCTTGCATTCCGACAGGTACCGTGTAAAGAGCCTAGCCAGGGTTTCAATAATGACTGGCGGAAGGCTCTCTAGATGTTCTGGTTTGATCCTATTGGGACTTGGCTTCGTGCAACCCTTCGTCGATATGATGGCATGTCGACTTTCGGAAGGGAAAACCGAAGGAGCGATGTATTCGTCTTGCCTAAGATAGTGAGTAGGCAGGTAGACGAAGGGACTGTCGAAGGCTGTCGAAGCGATCCGAGTAGAAGTCGTAGATGACCGTCTCCATTGCCCTCCGGGATGCAGTAACGGTTCCGTCAGGACGACGAAGGGAGGTCATCTTGGTCTTGTAATTGGCGAAGCTCCGTCGGGCTTTGCGAATGCTCTTTCTGGCCTCGGCGGCTTCGCCCATGACTGCTGCTCTTCCCTCTTTCAGATCTTCCTTTACCGCTTCTCTGCATAGCTTCGCAAGTTAGGACGTTTGTTGATAATTGCCTGCAGGTCGCGCGATTCCACGCCGGCGTATCAGCTCTAGAGTCTTCGAAGAGAGTCGTCTCTTGGCTACTTGTAGACTTTCTTAGCGCTATCGTGAAGATGTTCAACGAGCTGACTGTACTCTTCATCGATGTTGTCGATAACGGAATCTTCCCATTCACTCGCAAGGGAAGCGAAGTGGTCCCAGTTGATAAAGGTCTTGGGGCTTCGTTTCCTAAACTTCCTAGCCCTCTCTCCACGCACTGAGAAGCAGAATCTAGCGCGGAGGAGACGATGGTCCGATCCCGTGTAGAACTTCGGAACAACAGCGACATCAGTCAGGCAAAACTTTCGATTGACGATGATGTGATCTTTTTTTTTTAGAACTGTCCACCAGGTGACTCCCATGTCCTTCGGAAATGAGAGGGCTTCTGGAATTGCGAGTTACCATGGATGGTGTGGGTCGTCATGATAAACTCGGACAGCCTTTTACCCTGCTCATTCCATTCAACTCCGTGAGTCCCGATGTGGAGCTCTCCAGCCGTTCTTCCGGGGCCAATCTTGATCTTGAAATTACCGAAATCGCGACGAGCTTGAGGAAAAATGATGTTCTCTGTAGAGACTCTCCAGATTCATGCAGAACGCTTCCAGCTTTTCTTTTTCTTCGTAGCTGTTGATGCGTAAACAACAACGAAGACTGTTAGTGGGCTGGGTGAGGGTGAAATGTGCCACATCTTCTCGATCGCAAACGTCCTATTCGGGTCGTTAAGCTTTCGTACAAATCAATGTTCATGGCCAAATGCGTGTTGACGAGGACACCTACACTGGCGCCTCTGCTGTCGCATGTTCCGAAGAATAGTTTTCCTACAATTTCAAAAATGACGTGTAATGGGTGGTGCCTTCTTGTCTCGGTCAGTCCGTGTCTTCTTGACCCTCCTGGCTTGCATCATCAAATCTTTCATACAAGTTTCCTATAAAAGCGTTCGCGTGTTGTAAGTATAGCTGTAAATAACTCAGTTGAAGTTCATAAAGGGTCAGGTCTGTGCTCGTTTCTCTTCTTACTAACACTAGATACAATCATAGGACTCATGGAGAAACCGTTAGGATCATCCCCTATGCTGGTGACATCGCCTTGATAGCAAGGAGTAGAGAGGTACGGCACGAGGAACTGCAGATATGGTGGGGCGTGCAGTCAGATAATGGACCCCTGCTAAATGTGAAGAATAAAAAGCTGTTCCGCTCAAAGGTGTACAAAGAGCTTGCTGTGCTATTCATTGACTACGACGGGAAGTAGGTGAAAGAGTACAAGACTTCCGATGCCTCGTAAGTGACCTGGCCGTCAACAGTGACATTGGTTAGACTGTAAAAGCTCAGACCGGCATGAACGAGGGAGAGGGATTCTAATGACTTCCTTGGGAGTAACGTTGCAAGAAGAAACTCAAAGGAAAGGTTTACGGAGCAAAAGCAAGGCCCATAGTGCTCTATTGACCGAGTATAGGCCAGTAGGCAGGAATCATGAAAGGCAACTTCACTCGGCTCAGATGAGGATGTTGAAATGGGCCTGCGCTTGGGCACGGATGGATCCCTTAGGAAAAAAAAGACGCAAGGACATTCATAAAAACAGCTCCAGACTAGCTGGGGATGAGTGAAGAGAGGCTTTCTCGGCATGGCGCGTGCTGCAAAAACACATTGCCATCCGATCATCACTATAGAAGCTACGGAACTCGAAGCCCAAGGAGAGCGGCCACATGAGCCCAGCGACCACAGCCACGAGTTAGGGAACATGATCAAGGTCGACTTCTCCGAAGCCAGGGTAAGATCAGAAGATGCCGCGGACTGATGAAAGCGGCGAAGCCAAACGAGGAAGCTGCGACTGTGCAGCACTGACGATACATGGTAAATTTATGTGATCTATTTACTATGCACCGCATCTACAAACGAACACACGGTCATCTTACATAACCGTCTCCTGTACTAATTATAGCTCGAAGACACTCCGGCTACTCATCGACGGTGGCACGCAGGTTTCTTGAGAAACACTGGCCCGGACTTTTTTCAATGATTCCTTAGGAGAAGCAACAGTGGTGCGTTTTGAAGCGCAGGCTTTCCTCTCCAGCACGGACTGTATCTAGCGACCCATCACATTGTGGTCCGGGAAATTTGTTCAAGGAATGGAGGGTAGGATATGATCGCGAGCATTTCCTCAGCAACAGTCTCGCTCCTTTCCCATTCGTGAGCAAGTTTTCGAATCGTATCCCTACGGAAATCTTTGACCCTCAGCTGCATCCTTTCAGAAAACCCGTTCATAATAAGGTTCGGAATAAATTTTGTACTTTTCTCGACCAAAATTTGCGATATCGCTCTGATCGTGGAAATTCTATCCCAAGCTATCATGAAAAAGGAAAATGGCTTTGAGAGGCGATCTGACTCTTCTCGGCGGCTTCAGCATTCAAGGGGTGAAATATACGTCCACTTTGGGATCTCAACATTTCTTCCACGCTGGGCATCCTTTAGTCAAAAAAGGTTTGTCGAAGCTCATGCAGCGCGCAAGTAGCGCACGACATTTGCCTTTTCTCTCCATCTTCTTCTCGTCAAAAAGCTTATAGGGCTCTCGAATCTTTTCTGGATACAATTGTATTTAGACGGAGTAAATTCTTCCAATCGAAGTAGAGCATAAAAACAAATCAGCAGTCATTTTCCTTGTGTTTTTGCAGGTTCCGCAGCGTACTCCTTCGCAAGCAATTGTATTTGGAAAAGGGGTCGTATGTTAGATAAGAGGACCGTACTGAGGTTTGTTGTTGACCTGTCTACGCAATGCAATCCATGAGAATGTCATGTGAGAAGTGTTGAAACAAGGAACGAACCCGGAAAAGGGCTCACCAAATGCGCGCAAAGGCATTAGGTTCGGATGATGTCTGCGAGGTTCCACCATTCCTCGAAATCTGACGAATTGAGAACACCAAAGTAGTTATGTGGACTAAGGTAATCACCAACATAAGATGAGGTGCAGATTTGGAGAAACTCTCCAAACAAAGAAATTACGGACGTCCGAATAGTTGTTATAATATTTATGGCACATCCTGTATAATTCGCTCAGTGTGTGCGGGGGTTTGTTGATGAGTGTATTTGATCTTAAATTTATAACTCCTGTCTCCCTGGACTCAAAGCGTTCAACTTTGGAAGAGACGCACGCGGCAGGATGAGAGCAGCGATCGGTGATAGGATGTGGTAACAATTACTAGGAGCTTAAAAGGGGCCCTGGAGGCAAAATCCACAGGATCCCTCACTTAGTTCGTATCAACGGTGTAGCATTGAAACTTTGGCATGTGGAGTGGAATGTAAAGGGATCTTAGCTGATCGGTGACAGACTGCGATTGATTACACCTCATAGGGACTGACAATGAGCCAAAGAAAGCGAGAGCCTCTAGGTTTACAACGCCCTTCGTACCAAGATGAGGGTTTTGTAGCTTAGTAAGTGATTGGTGGCAAGGACTGATTACAAACGATAAGGCCTGGCAAAGAGTCATAGAATAGTAGATCCACTAGGTCCGCTCCTCAGTGGCAGGAACTGCTAACAACAGATAAGAGCTGATAATGTTCCCCAGAGGGCTACGGCCACCTACGAGTTAATTTCTAACGCTTCTGATATTTACGATGTAGCTTTGACTCTTTAGTATGTTTCGTTAGATAGGACAGGATGGTAGTGTAGGATGACAAAAAGTAGGTCGTGAATACAGTGATAGGTACCGATTAAAAGCGCTTCATCACCAAAAGATGAGAGTTTGGTTCACTACTTGCTGTTACATTACGACCCTGCAAGGTTTGTGACTCAGTGAAAGATTAGGGCTCCCTTTCCATCTATTTTCATATCATTTGCAATAAAACTTATCCGTTGGCCAATGCTCTGGGGCTCGCAACTAATGAGTAATGAATAAGGACTAGTGTGCGTTAGAATTGGTAATTTGAACCTAGAGCGTTCAAGTTTGGTAGGAGTACAGGAGGCAACATGGGACAAAACAGGACTAGACTCCACTCACAGGGGACTGGGCGTGCGTGAAAATTCTCAATATGAACCTACAGCGTTCAGATTTGATAGGAATACACGCCGCAGTTTAGGATGCTCATAGTGGATGGCACAATTTTGCTCCACCCACAGGGGCGACGTGCGTGGAAATCTTCGATTTGGTCTGGGGCTTTCAAATACGGTAGGAGTACAGGCGAAGGATAAGGAAACCGATAGAAGCCCACTAGGGGTGGGGCTTCGCGAAAATTGTTAATTTGGATCTCTTTGGACTTGGAGCGTTTAAATTTGGTAGAGCTGCAGGTGGCAAGATAGGAAAACTAATGGCAGATGGTATGTGTAGACTCCACCTACTGGGGGCGGAGCTCGTGCGGAAACTGTAAATTCGGACCTGGAGCGTTTAAATTTGGTAGAGCTGCAGGTAATATAGGAAAACTAATGGCAGATGGTATGTGTGGACTCCGCCCACCGGGGCAGAACTTGCGTGGAAAGAGTTAATTTGGACGTTTGAACCTGGAGCGTTCAATTTTCGTCTCCTCCCACTAGGGTTGTCAATTGGACCTGGGGACCTAAAGCTTTCAAATTTGGTAGGGATACAGGCTGCAGGACGGGATGACTAATGGTGAGTGGCAGGACTGCAGTCCGACGAGGGGGTAAAGGGGAAGTAGTGGTTCTGAAATGAGTCCTGTGTAAAGGCCTTTTATATTACGTATCGTTAATTCACAGCTTGGCTCCCTACCCCGATATGCTATATCAGTCATTTGTGTAAATGACTGCTCATTCGCAATTATGTTTCCACTGGTCGTGCAGTGTTCCAAATTTAAGAAAGTTGAGGAAATGCGGTGGGATTGAAGCTGTAACTTTAATAGAGACCGATTCCGACCAGTGTAGTTTTGTACTACTCGATGTAAGGATACTGCTAACTAATCTTTTTTTTACAAGTAGGAAAGGGAGGGTAATGATAATTTCAGTAAAGCTTCAAACTTAGCATATGAAGGAGGAGAGCCTGGCAGAATTCGGGCGTGTCCTATACAAAGTCCATGTGAGTATCTGTAGAGAGTTCTATTGTTCAGCCAAGTTTAGAGATCCCACCCTCTTACCGCATCAGTGCAGAACACACGTAATTATTAACCCTCGAGGCATTTTGGATACAGGTCACCGATCCAAAAATGAATCATAGGGAAGAATGCCTCGCAATCACGCGGGAGCTGCGGCCTTATATAAAGTTGGCCTTCCCATGGAGACTCTGAACGAAGAGCTACCCCGGCTGAGACTGGTCGATTATTATCATCGACTGCTGGTTGGTTTCAAAGAATCCACCAAGCTACGGTGAGTGATTCTCCATTATTCACCTGCATGCCCTGGGGGTCTCGAACTTCAGTGTGGCAGTGGAGACGTTTGGTCGGATAGTCACGAATTGTTATGATCTTTCTGAAGAAGGCGACTCCGCCGAAACGTCAGCCTAATAAAGCTTGTATACAAACCTCGTGAAGAGTTAAAGAAAACAACTCAGTAACAGAACACGTAATTATATCATCTTCAGTGAAGTACAGAATTCCACAATGGTAGGGGGTAAACAAGAAAGCAAATGACTCCAAGACCATTTCTTGATTCTTTGAATGTCTCGGTTGATATATGGATGCATATATAAAGGAGATGGTCTTCATGTGCAGTTTTCCAATACGTGTCCTCTTAATAGACGGCTCATACGCTATTAGTTGGGTTCTAACGGTTCTCTCCATTTTTTGGAAGAGGGCGGTACTTTATTTTGCTGAAACGGTTTCACTTCATGTTTTTTTTCTAGGAAATTTATTTATCGAGAGCCAGGAGACGCGCACGCCATCTTATTAGAAAAAAAGTGGGGACTGAACCAAGTTACTCAAACAGACGTGAGTTGAGCACAACCCCGCTCAATACGGGTGAAACGCTCACGAGCTAGGTCTGCGTGTTTGGCCGGGAATTTGTACCTCCGTTTCCTGCACCAGAGCTTCCAAATTTGGAATGTACGTAGGCGGCGGGCCAACTTTACTCGGAAAAGAAGGAAGCCCGGTGGTAGCCGAGCGATAAGGCTGGTGATAAGAAATATGAGTGATTCGTTCCTGGAGCTGAAAGTATGGAATTTCCAAGGGAAGAAATAATGTTCAAGGCAGATGAGTGCATTTGCTATTACCTGTTCTCCTAGAATGTAGGCGTCAGAAGAAAGGACTGCAAAACTCTGGGTGTGCGAACAGTTGAACGATTGAGGTCACTTCGCACCTCCAAGCGAGGCGATGTTTATTGGGTATGAAGATTCTATGGTTACCATACTGTCTGCCTATCTCTCTACATATAAAGTAATCAACTTCATATCTAACTCTGAGTGCCCGTTTGTACTATGTCGGTTTGTACGTCGGGGGGGGGGGGGGGACGGGTCCGAGGGGCGCGCCGAAGTTCGTGACGATTTGCACGACTCTGTCCAAATTTTCGGGGCACAAACTCGAAGTAGAGTAGTTCAGTAGAGTCGAATGATCCTCCTAATCTACTCTACTTCAAATTTGGGCCCAAATGGTAGGCGCCAGGGTCAGGGGCGCCGGGTCGCCAGGGCGCCAGGTTCGAACCGCCAAACACTTCGCCGCGCAATTTGTCGCGCGATGCACGTAAGTTCCGTCCCTCTTGTGGACATTGAGTTTTCCCACCTAGTTATGATCACCTCGCGCAGAAGTACGTAGCGACCTCAATGGTTGCTTTCATAGATCACCGGCGTGCATTATTTCACCGACCAGCCAACCGACCGACGGTGTTGCTGGCCACTTGATGACAACGCAGGAACAACTGCGTTCAGATCCGCGTGAATGGTATCCATTTGTCCAGTCCTGTCAACACGTGGTCAGCAACGCGTCGGTCGGTGTAACAATGCACGTCGTTGGACTCTGAGAGTACCCAATCGTTCAAGTGATCGCACGCCCAGAGCTTTGCGGTCCTTTTTTCTGAAGGCTACGTTTTAGAATGGCAAACTCCTAGCGGAAGATTACGGTTTGCCGCGAAACCTACCGTGGGAATTTGGGCCACAAGAATGAAGAATAGAGGCTTGGTCCTATAATTAACATCTCCAAAAACTAGGTAGTCATGTTGGGAAACTAGATGGTTCCCGCGCAAAACTTGCTCGTTATTTTTCAGACTGTTGGTCCAGATACGGTTCTATTTGGACGGTTCTATACAGTGGGGACTGGATGATTGAACTCTGCAGAACAGCTCATGGTAATGTCCTGTGAGTTATCCTATGATTCATTAGGGGTACTCTTCAAATTCAACGTAGCCATGCTCCCCGCCATTTCTACATTCAGAATAACTGAGAGCACAGAACGAAATTAGCAAAAAGCCAAAAGATGAGCGCGCGAACGCTTGCGGTTTTTACATTTTCTTTCGAATAGATTTGAATTACGAGGAAGGAAACAGAGGAAAATGAAGTATCGACTCGCGGGCTCGAATGCCGCTAAGAAACGAATCTGAGGCACGGGGATGGAGATTTCGCCTGAGCGCGAGGAGAGGAGAAGCACCAGGCTGGGTGAGATCCTCAACCTCAAGGTGAAGGCACATTGAACGCAAAAATTCCGCCATACAAATCAGATCCGCACTGTCATGCCTATGAGGCGCATCCGATCGTGCAGTTGCACGCTACGAAAGGCATGATTCGAACTTCTAATTGAAGTTGTTTCGGTAGAAATGCTGGAAGACCGAGGAAGAAAGTGCGCATTGATTCTTTTCTGGTTGGAGGTGTCGAAACCGTAAAGCAACCACAACTGCAACTGCAGCGAGAACTTTCTCCTTTGTCGCCCGGTGTACACGCTCGTGGTGTCTCGATATTGAAACCGCAAGGTAATCCACGCTTGCAAATGATGATTTTTTTATACGTTTCATTCTGCAACACTCGTCCATCTGCCAACCACAAAATCAAAATTAAGATTCGGCGCTCCAATCGAGCGCGCTTACTGTTCTCGTTCAAATTGGGGCAGCAGACGCCAAAAGAGGGGCTCCATTTTGAAGTCTGCGCAAAGTCGACAAATCCTCTTCATAATTCGGTCTGCGTGGTTTTTTGAACTTGTTTCGTATTGCACGATTTTCAAAATTTTCATGATCGACTCCTATTTCCCTATGAGACAGTCTTTCTTGGCTTTTGTACAGTTGCCATGGTTGAGTAAGAAATACAAGTTATGCGAGTTTTTCGTCCGAATTACCCTAAAATTCCATAGATAAGAGCAAAGCTTTCGGTTTTTTACTGCATGATTTGGATAGTTCCAAATAGTTCATCTTTATTCTGTTGGCGAAATTAGGAAACCAGATTATCTTACAAATTCAAACGCTTCCACATTGCAATTTGATAGAGAACTAGTTTTCAATACCGCTTCCAAACCGCAATATGCACCAGCGTTTTTTCTAAGGTTCTTCAATAAGCTTTTCTAACAAAAAAAAAATTGAATTTGACAGGATTTTTTTTGTTACTTCGGAAGGCATAAATAATGGGAATATCTGTCTCCAGAGTCACGTTAAGCTCTTTTTGAGCACAGAGGAAGTAGTGTTCCAGTACCAATGAATATTTATTAGTGCATTGACTGGGTTCGTAAATACTCTTAGTATTTTTGTGGACATGTTTCATTAAGTTTACTTAATTAAATGCCCATTTCCTTCATGATGGTGCTCAAATAGAAGTGAAGTAAATAGGCATTGAATATAACACAAGTTCTCCCTGAGTATAGTCGTTCATAAGCGGTTGTGGCTATGGGTTGTACCCACTGAGGAGTGGAGCCAAAAAGTTATTTTTCATAGCACATTACGAACATATATTTGATGAGCTGTTTGATGACATGTTTCTAATTAGCGTTTACCTGAGACGCTTTTTCAAATCTTATTGTTCCGATATAGAACTATTCAGGAAAAGACCATGGGTGATGAGGAAAGAGAAAGGCGTTCAATGGTAGGAGCGCCTCCTACTGCTAGAAAGCCTCTACTCTCATCGGCGAGACATGCCCGTTAGTGTGATTACGTGATAATGTTAAATATGTATTAGCGTGTTGTTTAAATCTTCTTTTCCTTTTTCAAGGGACACCAAGGGCCTCGGCATCAAGACATAGCGCTAAAAAGAAGCAAGAAGAAGAATCGGAAGAGGAACGAGAAAGTGGAAGCGAACGACAAGAGAGCGAGGTAAGGCCATTGAAATGAGGCTTGGATTGCTTGGCGTGTTTTCGGTTACTGATCTCAATTCTACTTTCCAAATTTGATAAACAGTTTTCTGAGCGGAGTAGTGAAGGTAGTTCTAGGTTAGCCCTCAATAAGTGAACATAATAGACTGTTATATAGCGCTCTCTGCGACAGCTTGAAGACACCGTAAAGATAACGACTCAATGGTACGATACTTCGTGTCGGGTGTAGTAGGGGGAGAAGAATATTCACATTCTACTGGACCTTGTCCTTGAAGTATCGCGGAAGTTTCACTGTTATTCTTTTTGCTGCGGATATCCCTTATTTATTTATTCATTTTCTTTCCACCACAAGAGGCTGAAAAAGGTGGGCTATTTTTACTATTACCAGTGTTTTTTTGTCAACCTGTGCTTATTAGTGGGTGAATTTTTCTTACAGTAGTCAGCTATTCGCTTCGAGACCCAACATACGCAATAACACACATTGTACATCTCGTCCAAACGCCCAGTTCTTCTTCATTTTTCTGGTCTCATACCCGTCCAGCCCCCTTTCAACAATTCTTCGAGGCCTTTTTTCACTTTGGAAACACCGATTAACGCACTTTCTTCGCCTTCATCGTACTATTTTCGATCTTATCTTCCATTTTTCGTCATAATCTGGATTACCCATAATTATCGTGAACTTTGCCTTTAAATACATTTCAACATGTTTTTCAAGGTGTTGGGATAGAATGGCGATACCTTCAGTTGTGGTCGCGTATATTGCTTGAAGTGTATATGGAAAGGCTAGAAGTTCTGTAAAAACTGCTATAACTTTTGGAAACGGCTCCAAGCAGGGATAGCGGGGCCATTTTTTATTGATTTATTATTATGGTAAATTTGAGTGGAAATAGGGTCGAAGGCGTATTTACCGCATGAGAAACAGCTCGTGCCCCGAGTGAAGTTGCTGGTGACAGCTGGAATAGAAGGATAGGGAATTTGCGACGATTACGTAGGAATTTGCTAATATTGAATGTAGCTGAGTACAACTGGGCGGAGCATCAATTTTAAATCATGAGTTGGTTCAGTGGGAAATGAACCGACTATCTCTGAAGTCTTAAACTGTAGTAGACCCTTCCTATACTTACGAAGTTCATTCTTGTCACAATGTCATTCTTGTCATTCTCATTCTCGGCTTCTAAAAGTTACATTCCCTAGGTTTCAGTGTTAGTTAAGAGAATTCAAAGCTGGTCAGCCCACTTAAATGTGAATGCCAGCATCAATATATCTGGTGTGATATCAGCGCTTCAGATATATTGATGAATTTGAACGTGCGTTACAGCCTTTATCTTGACTTTGGTACCAATCGAAAATGCAAAAACCAGTACCAAATCTCTTCTACTCATTCGCTCATCAACGGTCCAAACCACCGCTAAAGGCCCGAATATCCCTGTGACTTACATGGATTCATTTGGAATCCCTTCACAACTTCACTTATAGAATCGTTTGGCAGAGCTGGGTAGCAGATTTAAAATCAGCACACATTAGTGAGTACTATCTCAAACAGCCACTTTGGCTTGTGGTTATCCCCTTGTCAAATGATTTCATTAATTCTGCTTACAAGTGGATCCAAAATGTCCGTAATCTAGCTTACTTAGAGAGTACTTACGAGATCACTCTCCTAATGGTCTTTGCACGCTGAGCTACATTGATATCGTTAACGGGTATGATTCCGATCCTGTTTTTAGGCAGGAGAAGGCGGTGAAGACGATTCTGGTGCAGATGAGCCAGCAGAGAATGAAACACCTGGAAAACCAAAAAGAAAGGTAGTACCTTCACTTGGTAGTTTTCTACAAGCCAAACTCAACTACTGGAAAACTGTATATGCATGTTTACCTTACTCCTGGCAAGGGCAGAATCCAAACTCGAAGTCCAAACCAAACCGTTGGAAATTGAAATTGTATTGCTGTAAGCGTTTTCGGGCGACTATTAACTCACACTAGCTGTCATCTACAGGTTGTTTGTTTTGTCAATAGCGTATTCAGAATTCACCATTGCCAATGAAATTTCGAGATTTGCGCATTTCAAAAAGTCTACTTTTACTGTCGGATGATTTATTATTTTATTTTTTACCTTCATTTTCTAAATACCCCTTTTAGCGTCGACGCGTTCATCTCACAGACTACTCGGCTAGAAAGAAGCAGCGTGAGAAGGAGAAAGAGAAGCTGAAGAAAGCAGGTCTTTTTGAGGACCCTCAACCCAAGTCGGAATCAGCAGAGCCGGAAGAGAAAAAGTCGACGCCACAACCAGAGGCGCCCGAAGTCTTGATAAAGGCTCCAACTGTCAGCAAGTATGATTGAATGAATTCGAGGGTGACGTGTTAGACAATGAAGACAGCATCTTCAAAATTTCCAACTTATCAGGCGATTTTTCAGGCACCAACTACAAGTAGTGCCTTATTTCAAAGTAGTTTATAGCTACAGCTTACAGGTACACCCCATTGCAATTAATGGCTGACCATCTGCTCCGAAAAGTGATGTCGAAAGATCCCGAAGAATATTTCGCCTTCCCCGTCACGCCGTCAATGGCACCGGATTACCATGCTATCATAGCTCATCCAATGGACTTTTCCACCATGCGGTGAGTGCAGGTGTCATACAGGGTGCGCCAAAATTACTTGCTCAAAGTTGCAGAGTTCGACCTATTGATATAATGCAGCGATGATCTCTCGATTAGCCGCGAACATGTTAAGCACTCTTTCCTTGATCATTAGCACAAGCTTCGATCCTCAGCTCTTCCAAAATGGTTGGACCTCATCCTCTCAGACCCACTATCATTCAGTTATACCGGATGGGTCGCTGTTCCAAAACCATCGCAAAAGTTCTATCAATCAGCAGAAGAACGGTGGCCTTCACCATCAAACGCTTCGAGGAGCTCGATACTACAGAAGAGGGGGATGAAAAACAACTGCAACATTCACTAGAAATGTTAAAGCTGTACGGGATATTGGGCGACGCAGTCCGAAGAGGTCCATGAGGAAGATTGCCTGAAAGCTGGGAATAAGGCATAATTCCGCCCGCCGTTTAGTTTGAAGAGAAGCTGGGATTGACACCTTATCGATACCGAAAGGTGCACCTTCTCACTGCATCCATGAAGAAAAACCGGATCCAGAAGTGCAAGATGCTCCTCCAACGGTTCGCGTCGGCGCGCCACCGAGACATTGTCTTCTCCGATGAGAAGCTGTTTACGTTGGGTCGACCTTCAATCGTCAAATCGGTCGAGTGCTCTGCTCGGCAGCTGAAGAGGCTTACAAGAGGAGAAGAATCCATGGACGCTCTGGATATGCAGAAAAAATCGTGGTTTGGGTAGCGATCACCTACGAAGCGAAGTCCCCGCTGGTTTTCATCGACAACGATGTTAAAATCAAGACGGAAGTCTACTTGGAGAGCGTGCTGAAAAGCGTCTTGCTTCCATGGACGAAATGTCACTTCCGCTGTAGACCGTTCGTGTTCCAGCAAGATTCAGCACCGGCTCATAGAGCGAGGGTGGTGCCGAAACACCCTTTCAGGATTTATCAACGCTCAGGAATGATCCTCTAATAGCCTTGATCTGAATCCAATGGATCATTCCATATGGTCACTATTGGAGAGCAAGGCCTGCTCTAAGCAACACCACTCGATTGATTATTGAAGAGGGGCTTGCTCAGAGCATGGGAACAAATACCTTTGGGGTACCTTCGCGCCACAGTGGTTGCCTTCCCCTTACCTCTGAGGGCCGTGCCCGAGCCTGTGGAGGGAGTTTCGAGATTTGAATTAAGTATGTGTAGTGGCTCAATATAAATAAAGTGTTGTAGAAATGTAGTCCTCAATCTATCGTTCAACCGATTTTACAGCCATGGGTATTTGAGCAAATAATTTTGGCGCACCCTGTAGTGGGTAACAGAACGAAGACTTCGGTTTGGAAAGTTTCTATGTGAACGTTTCAAAGAGAACTCAAGAAAAAAANGGGGGGGGGGGTCGGTCGCTGTAGCCATTGAAAATTTGTTGTTTCGGGCAATCTTTTCACAATCTTTTAAATTTAGGCAGAAGATCGAGGATAATGTCTATGAGACTATAACAGAGATGCGTACCGATGCAGAATTGATTGTATCAAATGCATTAACTTACAACAATCCCAATACGGTAAATTTCTTTTTTGATATAATTTTCCTATTTACGTCGACGCTGCTTCTCTTTTAGGTTTATCATCTGGCTGCCACGCGACTTTCAGCTATAGTGAAATACTACTTTTCCGAGCAATATCTGCGGTACATATTTCATACACTCCCCTTTGCTAACCAAGTGAGGTTTCCCTAATAAGAAGAGTTAGCAGCTCTCTCAAATCTCCTTAGAACGAGGCTTTTCAGATACCACTTGAGAAAGCTGGCCTTGTACCTATTGCTTTAACGACGCATAAGGTGGAGAATCGTCGTCGACAAGTTCTGATAGATGATATGACGGGTGAAGACTGTCTCAGAGCTGCTGATCCCACCATTCGGTCGAAACTTTCAGTTCGATTGCCGAATGCGAAGTTGGCCTTCCTGGATAACAAGGTGGGAAAATAAACTACAGAACCTAGACTGAAATCATGTATCGCATTCTCATCACTTAGGATGGTGCTACCGTTTTGAATGTGATTGGTGAGACAGAGAAGAAGGGCTTGAAGTTGGGCGATATTGTAGGACCATTGGAGGAAGGCACACCAGGCATGTTAAGTCTCGGAGATCACAGGTACATAAGCACTTTCCTCAAAACAGAAATCAGTCGTTTTCTTCCGGTGATCTGGAGTTGCGTGGTGCATAAACAATGTGCTTTGTGATGGTTCAAGTTGGATTCTACAGGGTGGGCCAAAATTGTGATTACAGCGCGCGCTGACGCTCATAGCGATTTTTTTATGAGGTCATAACAATTCGTTCGCTTTCTTCTATTTCACAAGGTAGATTACATTATTACCGTCCTAATGATACTAAACTTTTGGTGGATTTTGAATTTACAAGCACTTTTGGCACGATGCATCTACAGACCATTCAGCGTAACAAGGCAGAGGGTACATTCGATTATAAGTCGCTTTCGAGAGTTGGGAACAATTGCAGATAGAGATGGCAAACCTAAGAGGCCTGCGGTTATATTTAGTGGGAGTTTTAAGGAAGCAGGGCGAAGGTCTGCGTAACAGCGAAGTTCATTCTGACCCCAAAATGACTAAATGAATGGATATCTAATGAAGTAATCTACGCGAAATCGTGAAGCATCATCTGCACGACAAGGCCTTCATACGATCAGAAAGCGAATTCCCCAGTGAGCAGATTAAAAAGAAGAGAAATGTTGGCTCACCGAAGCTGCCCCGCCGCATACAAAAAATTGTCGTACGGAAATCCCGTCCACCGGCGAAAAGATATCCGCGGTGAAAAAGGTGCCCAGTAAGCAGGGCTACGAGTTTTGTATAAAGCAGAAATAAATGGAAGTGATGCAGCGCTAGGATCGCTGACTTTCTGCAATATCCTTTGCGAGCGTCACAGCCGAGGCGAAAGCACGGATTATTTTTGTAAAATAAGAGTGAAAGTTGATTTGGAGACCTGTTCGAATTCATCGTGCGCAAAGAACACCTTGGCGATTCAAACCGGACATATTGTCAAGGTGATGCTCCTGACTGCAGATCAGAAAGTGTCGAGAAATTCCGTAAAATGGGTTCTCTGACTTCATACCCTTCGATCAGTGACCACTGTGGAGCCCTGACTCAAATCCCATGGACGTCTCACTGTGGTCAGCCTTGAGATGAAAGCATCCTTCAGCCCAAACAAGAAGTGGAGTAATCTCGAAAATGCTTAGCAAAAAGCCAGAACCAACTCGATGACCCTAGCTGCGAGCCACCGTCATTGCCGTCCATCGTCGTCTCTGGGGTTGGGTGAAAGCAGAAAGCAACGGATACCAGTCTCAATTTACTATTTTGATAAGAAATTAGTGATAGACACTTTTATGAAACTGGTTTGCTTTTTTAGCCTTCTATTCGTTTTCGGGGATGTGATTTCTGTGTAATCATAATTTTGGCCCACCCTGTAGATTGATAGCCATTCCAACAAAAGTTAGTTTGACTAGTTCTGTTTTCTTTCGAAAATGTGTCCAAACCTGTATGTTATGTATCGTTTACTCATGAGCATCAGGTCCTAAGAATCTCGCCAATGTGTTGTACAGCTGGCCGTGTCGTTTTTTTTGAGTTTGAATGTTCTGCGCTGAGTTATCAAGATGAAATCCATGGCTTCGAATTGACACGAACAGTCGCTAAGCAGTCCACTCGGAACAAGCTACTTTATTTTTTAAGCAATTTTTTCCTAATCGCGCTGCACGACTATCAAAAGCAATTTCCGAAGTGTTGGTGCTCTGAATAAGGTGAACGACTGAAATTTACAAAGGCATCTTTTTCGTCGAATCGGCATACTCTCACAACACAGGTTGAAATTTGTTTAAAAGTGAAACTGAAATGAAAGCAAAGTAAGTTGGGTTGTACGGAAAGTATCTGCCAAAAGAGCGCAAATTCCAAATTAAAGATTTTTTCTGGGTTGTTTCGGAATTTTTCATAGAAAGTTTGAGAGGACACTGCCCACATCCATGCGCACAATGTATCCGGACATTCCGGTACTGCAAGTCCAGGCTCATCTTCGTCCTTATTGTTACCGTCGCTGAAGCATTGGAACGAGGCATGCGCAGAAAGGCTTGCTAGAGGCTTCACAGCATAATTCTTGCCCAAGTTATAGAGTTTAGCAAGCATGGTCGATGGAACTGGTATGGTTTGCGCGTGCAAGTAGATGTGTCCTTATATAGCGACCCCTTTTAAACTTTCTAAGCATAACAGAAGAATATCTGGACTACTGCAAAATTCTCGGCGAATGGCTCCCGAACGATGCTAACACGTTCAAGTGGAATAAAAAGAGAGCTCTTTTATGACACATGAAATGATGTCGAAATAGGGCATTTATCAGAAATATCTAGTTTGGAAAGTCCCCGTAGGTCCGTAGACAATCTCACTACAGTGACGGCAAAACCGCTTTTGGAACATAAAACGGCAGGGCTTGTTTGGCAACAAGGTGAAATGTTCATGAAGGATAATGACTTAGCTCACGCTACACCCTCACCGCTCTCTTGCAAAGGAAAACAGAAGATAAGTAACTGCCGGTTCGACTAGTTCTAGTCCAAGCGCCCTCCACCTTTGCCAGCCTGAAATATCGTTTCAATAACCTACGATATATAATCTAAGTGAATCTGTTGGTTTGTCGGTGTGAGTGGCGGTGTTTGGGTTTTACCGGTAATTTATAAATCCTGTTTTCGTGGACCTGAAGCGCTCGAATTTTGAAGAGGTACAGGCGGCAAGAAAGGAACGTTGATGGTTGGTCATAGGAAGTGGTAGCATCTTATAGAAGCCGTTAAGGAGCCTTAGAACGCAAAAGGCTAAGGATTATTACCTCTTTCACTTGAGTAGAAGGTGTGGGTCAAGAAGCGACCGTAAATGTTAGGTGGCAGGATTATAACAACTGATGGGACTGATAACGAGCCAAAGGCGAGAGCCACTAAGTCTATAACACTCATCGTATTAACAGTAGAAGTTGGGCACTTCGGTAGGTGATATAGGATGTGAAGGGGCTGTGTATGACTGATGAAAGGGCTAGCAAAGAGCTGTAAAAAGCTAGAGTTACTAGGTCTGTAATGGTCTTCGCGTTGACAGTGGAACCTTGGCATTCTAATAGATGATGTAGGAAACACGAAAGGCATTGCAAACTCAGTGGTTCAGTCTTTATGTGCTTCTTATCGGCGATTATCATTTGCTATCGTTCATCGGAATCGAAACGGATCTTTTCGACCATTTTCAATTGTTACCAATTCCTGTTACCAAGCATCAAAGATTCGGTCACATCTCACACCACAAACTAGGATGTCATGGTTCCACTGTTGCCAGGGAGGGTGTAACCGACTCAGAGGCTTTCACTTTCTATGGCTCTTAATCAGTTCCCTTCATTTGTTATCATTCCTTACTATCCATCATCTACGACACCTTTACACGTCACATTGGCATCTTTCATAGTCCACGACCGGTCGCGGACCCATCTCGCGAGCGACCGGCGACCGATCGCGCGACTGGTCGCCGGTCGCTAGCGACTGGTCGCTCGACTGGTCGCTCGACTGATCGCGCGGGACCGTCCACGGCGGCACCCATAACTAGCGCGGCCTCCTCGACCGATCGAGCGACCAGTGGCGCGATCAGTCGAGTGACCAGTCGAGCGACCAGTCGCGCATCCGGTCGCCGGTCGCTCGTGAGATGGGTCCGCGACGGTCGCCAGTCGCTAGCGACCGGTCGTGGACTATGAAAGATGCCATTAGCTATCAAAGAATTAGCGTTTCGATGTTGATCCGAATGGTGTAATGAATCTTATAGTTTTTGTCTCCTAAGACTTCTTATTGGACCTATCAGCTCTTTATCCCTTCCAATTCGAACGCTTTAGTTTCTATGGGACAGGAGTTATGGTTTTTTGGTCAAACACACACACATGTGTGTACACACACCACAACTCGGCTAGCTATTAACCTTAGGTGATAGTTCTGATAGTTACCTATTTAGACGAAACCGAAGGCACAACCTATCGGTATCTTAGATGCGCAATCAAGTGGATAACCCTAGCATTGCCGTTAGCGCGTTGCACTCCTCTGTCCCGTTGTTTAATTGTATTCGTGCAGTCCACTAGCGATACGGTATACAAGCGTACCATTCGGATCGCCCGGCTAACGCCAGGCTCTCCTCCTTCTTGTGTCAAACACCCTATCCCGAGAAATGTTGAACTGAAGAATTTTCCCCTTTTCCAGAGCCTATAAATTTTAGGTTTATAGCTGAGTGAGAGTATGAAACTGAAACAGAGCTCGAAATAGTTATGTCGTCGTAGCATATCACATAGTCAGTTTGCCCGGCTCACGCCGGGCCTCCCTTCTTCTTTGGCAAAGTTGTAGTAAGTCGGCTAACTCTCCACTCCTTTATTTGAAACAAATAATAGTTCCCTGTACACGAAATTCGACACAGGACTAACAGCGCAGTGCAAATGGTATACAATGAAAGTTTTTGCTTAAGCCTTTAATTGGAATTCCCGATCTCTTGCTCCCTTTATTAAAAAGAAGTACACATTGAAAATCCAACTGCTAGACAACAAAAAATGATACTGTGGAGATAATCTTAGCGATAATAGCACCGTTATCAGACGTTCTTTATCAATGGGCCCTTTTCTTCACGGAGATATCATTAGTTGAGAATTCCAGATTAGGGGCGGTCTATTAGGTTTTGTCGCAAATGATATCGAGCAAGGAGGATCCTTCATTGAATCGCAAACCTTGCTGGGTAGTGGTCGTAATCTAATAGTAAGAAATGAACGAAGTTCTAACTTGCTTAACGTATTGCCCTAATGGGTCCCCACCACTGCACTTACCACTCACTTTCGTCACCCTGCTCTACCACCCCGTCTTATCGAATGTAACATACTGAACAGTCAAAGCTATATCGTAGATACCGAGGAGATTAGGATTTTGATCGGTAGGTGGCCCCTCTTAGGTCCCTTGTCTTCTCTTATCAGTCATGATCAGTCCTTGTCATCGAGAACCTACGATACCGTCATATCCTACATCACTTATTAAAATGCTAAGGTTCCACTATTAGTACGAAAAGTGTAATATTACCAAATTTCAACGCTCTAGGTCCACGTAAACAGGAGTTATGAAACTGGAAACCCAAAATTTCTATCGCTCACGCCCCGCTCCCTGTGCATGGAGCCCGGTCCTGTCACCCACCGTAAGTGTTTCCATCCTGCCCCCGTACTCCTACCAAGTTTGAACGCTTTAGGTCCACGGGGACAGGAATTATGAAATTGCGGCCTAAAATTTCTATCGCGCATGCCCCGCCCCTGAGCATGGAGTCCGGTCCTGCCACCCACCATAAGTGTTTTCATACCGCCCCCCGTACTCCTACAAAGTTTGAACGCTCCAGTTCCACGGGGATCGGAGTTATAAATTTCCGGTCAGACCCACACACCGGCACACACACACACAAACACACCGACAAACCAACAGAGACACACTTAGCGAATTATATATCCTTCTTATATATAAAGCAGTAACTTGGTTTGTCGGTTTATCGGTATGTCGGTATGTCGGCATGTCGGTCTGTCCGTCCGGGTTGCTTTATGATTATGATAAACATAGTGGTATGGAAAACTTATCCTGCTTTATATAATTCGCGAAGTACGTCTGTTGGTGTGTCGGTGTGTTTGTGTGTGTGTTTGTTTGTGTGTGTGTGTGTCGGTGTGTGTGCCTGACCGGAAATTCATAACTCCTGTCCCCGTGGCGTTCAAACTTGGTAGGAGTAAACGGGGCAGGATGGGAACACCTTTGGTAAGTGGCAGGACTGGACTCCGTTCACAGGGAGCGAGGCGTGCACGATAAAAATTTTAGGACGCAAATTCATAACTCCTGTCCCCGTGGACCTGGAGCGTTCAAACTTGGTAGGAGCAAGGGCGGCAAGATGGGAACATTTATCGTAAGTGGGAGGACCGGACCCCGCTCATAGAAGGCGAGGTTACGCCAAAATTTTCAGTTTGGCTCTAGGGCGTTTAAACTTGATAGGAGGCAGGCGGCAGTATGGGAGCACTTATGATAAGTAGTACGGCCGGTCTCCACCCCCTAGGGACGGGTTTCCGCGAAATAAATGAGTGGAAATCATAACTACTGATCCCGTGGACCTGGAGAGCAAAATCAGTAGGAGGAGGGAGGATGGAATCACTGACAATAGAAGAGGCCCTAGAGAAGAAGATCCACTCACCAATCACCTCCTAGCGCCTTTCTTATTTACGATCTAGCTTTGACGCGATGAATCATTTAGAACCTTCCTCCTTGAGGCCTTTTGTGCCCATTTTGAGCAAATGTTCAAAATTCTCTTTTTGTTCGAATGTAGCTCCACCCTTATTCGGCCGGTGAGGGGCAAAAAAAAAACTCCTTTGTAATCCTTTTCAGCGTTCCTTAATAGTGATGGAGCACCATAGATGCCCAATATCGAACCCAAAAATGTTTTGCACGCGTTTAGGACACATTTTATGGAAAAGCAAAACGAGCGTATGCATCAAGGAACCGAACCTTGATGCTATGTCTACCAGTCCATAACACTACCCGCTCGGCCACCATTGCACAGGTACGGGCTTTGCTCGGCTCGGTGATCCGTTCGTCAGTGTGGTATAACACAGGGAGGCATCGGGCTCGTAACTTTGTTCCCAGAATCGTTTAGCAGATTTGGAACACAGATTTGAGATCAGCGCCCGAAACACCTAAGGGGGTATGCATCTTATCTTGAATGGCCACTGCGACCTAGTATCCTTCCCTTGTAAGAAAAAAGAGAATCCGAATTATTATTTACGCATAGCAAATTTGTCACAGGAAGGAGGAACGCCCGGCGTAGCCGGGCGAACCCGTAAGAAGGAGGAGAGCCTGGCGTTAGCCGGGCGATCCGACTGGTAGTAGGATATTCATGCACTGCCCACATTCATATGAATATAAGCTTGAAGATTTATGCATTGTTGTCGTTTACTATACACGTCGTAATAAACGTCTGCACGTGTTTGGTAAAGTCCATTGATCATCAGCCAAAAACACCCAGTCTCTCTATAAATAGAGAGGTAAAGACTGTTTCTATTGGATTAGCGGTAGTGGACATGTGATGCACGCGTTAGCGTGCGTAGCCCAACTAGGTTATATGATTAAGTATGATATTTTTCTTTCCATGACAGTTTTGTGCGAAGTTTACCTTTGTGAGCGTGCGAGCGAGCGTAGGAAATAAGGTTGCTGCCTTGACCATCAGGAAGGTCACAGTAGCAACCCGTCGTTTCTTCCACTTGCCATTCATGTGTGGAGTGCACGTAAAATTTGTGAAATGTGCTTGAGTTTCGCAATACTTCGGTGTAGCTGTGGGATGCTTATGTTCAATTTAAGAGCTGAAACATTTTATTCCAGGTTATCGGGGCAATCAATGATAACGTATCTGAACTATGGGCCTTTTTCATCATTCGCTCCTCAGTACGATTCCACATGGGCTACTCTCACAAAACGAGATTCGGATCTACTGTTGAGGTATGACCTTCGTTTTTTAGACGTCTGAAGCGTCTCTAGAGTCGAAAGCGTTTTGCATTGATATCGATTCATTTGATTTGCGGGATGGTTCTAAATAAAAGTCACACACTGTGGCGGTAGTTCAGTGGTTTCCACTACGATGTCAACGGAGGACGGATGTTGGCGGAGAAACGACCCGAATATCACATGTATCACCTGTTGTCCCTTTGATCAATTTTTCCTTGAACGGGCGCCAGTAACGTTTCCATCCGTTCCTGTCGCGAGCCGGAATAGTCCAGTGCAAGGACACAAGCCCTCACTGACGTGCAAGAGCGTAACAATTCATTTCGTTCCTTCCTTCTGAGTTTTCTTGAAAAGTTCGAACATTACCCAGACGGCCTTCCCGGTGTTCATTTAAAAAACAGTTGGGTAAAGGAACATAGCAATCGCAGAATATTGCTCAAGCAGTCGTAGTAACCTGGATACTTCCTGGTAGGCAGTACAGGAGTCTACGGCAGCGCAATGTTTTGCTTGATATTTTCCCGTGCTGAAGGTCACGTGCAGAGCTCAGCAATGATGAAATATTTGAAAATCCAACAGATTCCTTGGCATGCCAAATTTCAATACAGACCTCTGGTTGCAGTAGTAGCAGTTATTTGCTGTGCTATAGTAACGCTGACTTCTTCTGCTGCACACGAGTTCAGCAGAGTGGCGCTCAAGTCATGGGAGCACTACTGAATGTGCGACCTATAATTCGACGTTTCAGGCCACAGTACCTAGGTATTTCATTCCCTCCGCATTGGAATCGGATTGTTGGGGGGAGCTGCTTGATGTCTAGATGCTTTCTGGACGTTGTGAATAAGTCGCTGACAACGGTGAAATCTCTTGACTGAGCGCTAGGAGATTAGCCTTTTATCTTCTTTCCTGCTTGTTTTTCTCGAAAAAGCTTGCTAACTTCAGAAGGCGATGATCTGATAGTCAAGCTCTCGGCGTGGTTCTTTGTTGATGGATTCTGTATTCTTCTTCCTTTTACTTGATTTTTCAATCTTTTCCTCATAGATCTTTTCCTCGGGTCTAATTCTTGTGAGATTTGTACTCTACCTTATTTCATTATAGCGTTTTTCTAACCTCTCTCGTCCCTTTTTTGTTTACCTCATATCATCCTGAGGAAGCGTCGTAGGGCTCGCATTTTTCATAAAGTTCCTTATCTAAAGCGGGATGGATATTCATCCTGGCAGTATAGGCTCCACAGTGTGTAGCTAGGTTTCTAAAGACATTGACGTCGGAGCTTTCCGCAGAAGTGGTGTGCCATTATTCCTACGATTTGTGTTGCTTTATTGTTTTATCAGATATTGCAAACTCTTTTTGATTTTATCAAGTGCTACGTAAGCTGTGCTGCATTGGCATCTTTATGTATCTTTTAAATCGCCTTAAACAGGCCGATGCACCAAAAATGTGCTGTGGTTAAGTGGTATATAACTGTTGACAACGGAGTGAGCAGCATAATAGGGTAAAAGTAAGAGCGGACGTTAACGCTACATTGGGACAGAGTATTGTTATGTAATTCTTCATGGCTCAGATTAACCTACGAACCTACGTCTAGCCTTTGACGTTGTTAGACGTCCGCTTGATCCTGCACCATTTCGGAGTGTGGGTTGAGTACGAGAGTTATGAGAAGCCATTAAGGTTATGGCCGCAGACGACGATACTTATTCATGTTTTCGATCTCTCAAATTCGATCACTTCTGATATCTGATTTGATGGATTTGCAGCTTCTATTTTTTGTGCTAAGAGCTTCAGCAATATATTGTATTAGAGTAAGTAGGATGGGTGCCATTAGGAGTTTCTTATACAAAATTTACCGTGCTAATGTTTCTTTCTCGAAACTGTTACAATTTTTGATAAGTCCATCTTAAAAGGGTGTAGCAAACATAAAAAGTAAGTATTTAGAACCTATGGTGATCGTTCTACTGTAGCAGATGTGATGTCTTTAAGGAATATGGTCAGCGACGCAGGCGCACATTTTGTTAAGGTGATATCTGTGATTATTTCAAGAATATTAGGCCGTATTCTTTGAATATATTCGTTTCAGGTTGTTGATGATCTTCTTGATACGTTGACAGATGGTGAACATTCGAGAGCAATGGCGGAATTGAGAAAAGATGGCTTGGTAAGCGTATTTCTACTATCTGGTCACATCTCTCCCTAAAGTGCGTAGAAATTCGAGACGATAGAAAGGAAGGATGCTGGTTCCATCGTGCAGCATTTTATCCGCACTTTTCAAAAAAAAAAAAAAAAACTTTCGCTGCCTAGATACTTGCTGGACGCTGGGAATGGGTCGCTGACAACGATAATATACACTTGAATGAATACTATGAATTAGGTTGATGGAAAAGTCTTGATAGAGTTGAGATCTTTCTCTGTTTTCTTTCACAACTCAGCAAACAATACAAGCTGATCAGAAGTATAATAAACATCGTTAATTATAACATTGTTCCACCTACGGGCAGTTCAGCGATTCCCTTTTCCAGAACTGGGAAGATTGGGAGTCAAAGAAGTCACCTACCACTTGTTCTAGGTGATCATAGTTGACGAATTGTTTTTTACTAGGGAAGCCTTGAGCGGCCGGAACAAGTGGTAAGTTAAGGGTCAATATTAGACGAATAGGGTGGGCGTGGAACCGTGTACCAGCCTAGCTCCTCCAATTTGGCAGAGGTCGCTTTACCTATGTGAGATCTAGCCTTGTCATGAAGAAGGTGAACAAAAGTTCGTCTAGGCCGTTTTTCTCGAATGGACTTTGCAAGTTCCTGCAGTAGACCAGCGTAATAGGAGGTGGTGACAGTGTTGCCTTGCTTGAGCAGTTCGTAGTACAGCATTTCTTTGAATCGTAGAAGCAGCAAAGGAGAAACTTCTTGGGGTGGAGGNGTTCTCCTCGCGGGAGGTGGACGGCGCGGTGCTTTTTAGCGTCGTAGAGAATCCAGATCCCATCTCCGGTAACTAGGTCCTTCAGGACATGAGGAATCGTCGACTCAGCACTTTTCATTAACCGAGAGCCTGAGTGCGACTGACGACTGTTGATAGGACATACCCTAGTCTCGTCGCAAACCTGCGGGTGTTAATTTCCGGTTCCGCTTTGACAGTGTCGAGAATGAGTTGTCGACGGCGAGGAGGCGTCCAGACCGAGGCTTGTCTTCGAAGCCCGTGTCTCTTTCCTCAAAGCAAGCGAGCCAGCGATGAACGGTGGAGATGGAAGTGGTGTCCTCTCCCTATGCGCTGTTAATGTTGTGGACTGTTGCCGTCGCTCCAGTGCTGCGGCGCCACCCATAAAAGGTGATGGCTCGAAAATAGCGCTGTGGAATTGATATCGTGTTTAAACTGAAGTAAACGCTTGCGCCCTTATATACCTTTTGCGGAGAAGCTTCCAAAATATTCTACAACTATCGTATGATAGGTCATGGATATTGGTCAAAATCAAAAATACCGCTCTTTTCAAGAAAACCCTATCAAAAATTCCGATCAGCCTAATAGAATATTAGATTCTTATCATTTTTGCCGCTCATTCTACTTGAAAGAAAAGCAAGCGAAATTTCAAATGAAATGACCTGATTAATGTTAACAATATAAAGAATTCTCATGTTCCTGTTCGTCACGAAATCCTGTATTACCTGCAGAAGCATTTTGAGGGTTCGGTTCAATTTGGGATTGATGGGTCCTAGATGGGTACGGGAACATTTCCCCGAAGACGACGTCGCGCACGCCGCACCCGCCGCGTATCGCAGGATACGATGGAAGATTGGAGGGCGCAATTTGTGAGGTAGGGATTCCTTAATTATTTGAATTGGCTGGCCGCTTCCTTCAATCCCAATGCGGCATTGATCGTCGCTAATATAGGAGGAGTCATTCTCATTAAACAAGTCTAATATACATAAAAAAACAAGAAAAAGAAGTTGAAAAACGATCAAAACCAATAAAGAAGAAAGGCAACCAACGAAAAATATTGCGTCATATCGATTGGCGGGGGCGGGGTGAGTACGGTAATTGCAGTGACATTTGCCGCATGCCGCAAGGGAGAATGCCGCAATCGGGGAAAAGTTCCGTTACCCGTCTTAGATTAAAACCGGCTAAACACAATATCAGCTCAACGGAACGTAGTCTACAAGCGGCGGGGCTCGCACCGGTAGGTCCGGTGCAAAAGGCAAAACAATTTTTTTCAGAGCAGTCCATACCCATGGAAAATGAGCATAAGTGAGGAATGGGTCAAAAAATGAAACGAAAGAGGGACATTGATGGTAGGCGAAGTGTCCTCACACTGGGCTTTCCAATGAAGTCCATAATACAATTCCATCACCCTCCTCCCCTAGCCACATTTTTGAGGGTATTTAGTGGGATAGAAAGTAGCAGAAGAAATCAGATGACATCATTGAACCGATTTACTACATAGTCGTCAAGTGTGCGTTTGCCAAACTTCGTAAATTCGTGACTTTCCTTATAGGAGCTTTCAACTTGCAATTTTTAGTGCTCAAGCTTCATCTTTCCGAACACACTTTATGCCCGAATAGTTTTGATGATTCTTTCTTTTATCTCGTTTATACTCTGAACTATCGTTTTTCTCCTAACTTGATGTAATATCTTTTAAGGAAGACGTAAAAGCGCAAGATACGGAGGATCTTTCTGAACTGCTCTCTGAAGTGGAATCGCTGGAAAATCTGGGCGTTGATGTGTCCTTCGTACAGGATATACGGGAAAGTCTATCAGTTAGTAAGCCGACGGATTTGCAGGTAAACACGTCGAATCAAGTATGAAGTCAAACTAATTTGGGATATTCATGAGAAAACTAATTTGGAATATTCATGAGATGATAATATTCTGCATAGAACTAAAAAGATTCCCTTGTCGCTCTCACGTCTAAGACGAAGTTTTAAATTAGGGCGCTCATAAGTGTACGGGGGTGGGGGTCAAGCGGTCCACGACCACAAAAGCGAGGGCAAGTCCTTGGTCTGCCCTTTTATCGATACCAGTCCTTTTTGAGCGATCGGTAAGAATGAGCGTCAACAACTCTTCTGCTAAAGGGATAAAACATTTTCATTCCTCTCAGTAAAAGTTTTTCATTCCGTTCAGTTTTCTGAAGATTTCAGCAACATAAGGTATGAGTTTTTTCCGGTAGAAAACGGCATTCATTGAGTTATGTTTTACAGTCGCAACTTGAAGTGAGCGGGCGAGCCGTGCTAGATTTAGCGCGGATGCAGAACAAACGTCTTTCGCAAGTGCCACCGATTACGCTTACGAATGCTCCACCACCTACGGTAATTGAGACGCAGCTAGCTGGTAATGTTCAACGGCAATTGGCCACACAGGTAATTTTCAACCGTTCGATTTCGAAGTTGCAGTATATTTGTTCGGTATGAAGTGGGAGATTCCCTCCTTCGTTTTCTTATTCTGCCTAGGTGGCCTCGACGGTACTTCGTATGTTTTAATGTAAATGTGTCATTGTGATGAGTTCGATTGCCTTCGCCTGATCCTATATATCCCAGTGCTGCTCACTTTTAAACGCCACCACAGCAAAGCATTGTGACTATTGAAAGCTATAGCAACTTTCAGAGACTGCTTCATTTCCTGGGCAGCAAAAACGTGATCGCTAATCAGGCCGCACTAGCAAGCTGTATTTATACAGTGGGCAAAACTTTTGGCTTTGAGAAAAACCTGTTAATTTTTGGTATTTTCGGACTCATAAGTTAGGTTAAGATGTAAAATACATCAACAATAAAGTAATAGAACGTGACTACTCTCTGAACCAAGAACAACTCCGAAGAGCAAACCGTTGATTGATGCTTCACAGTTAAAAGTTGGGATGAATAGAATGAATCATCCATGTGGATTAGTTTCTACATGCGAAGTCGCGATAAAAATTTCTCTGTTTCGTCTCCGATCTCTTCTATTCAATTTGGCCGATATAACATCTATTATCACTACAGATACCTCTATGGATAAGGTAGACTTGCTAACCATTGATTTTCCATCAGTGCGGATTTCTTTAATTGAAAACTGCCTCTGGCTAGTGTGTTACTGCTAGTTAGGTGGCAAGGCTATGTGACGTCATTACTCGAACCAGGACCCACAGTTATAATACTGTAAGAGAAACGGGTTCCTGTCTCAAATTTTTGTTTGCCCGTCTCGAGAATCATATCTAACCTTCCTCGTATGACCGAACTTGTTTTATAGAAAGGTGACGCTTAGGAAATTGAACTGAATCACCATGAATCGAGATTTATGGTGACATAGGTAAGCAAAGGTGCTACTTTTTTCATCAAGAAACCTTTTTGTCAAGGTTTCTCGATCTTTAGATGACCATGTATGTTGAACAGCCAATTTTTTTGGAAGAATAACCGATAGTTCGAGTACTCTACCAACCTACCTTTTTTGCTAAGACTAAAGAAACTTGAAAGCATTGACGTGCCCTTTTCAGCTCCATTAATATTGCATATGTCGTATAAGTCTAATTTGTTTGCCATACCGAAGGTAGTATTTGAAATTTTGAAATTCATCAGCCTTCTTACTACCTATCACATCTCCATGGTTTTTGAAGTGACAGTTGAAATTATCCGCGTATCTTTCAGGTTGCAGCGCATGTACCTCCAGGAGAAATAGTTTCTGCTCCAGCCATTCACAATGCAATTGGTATCCAGGATGAGTTGGACATGGATATTTTTGGGGAATTTTTCGTTACATAGTACCTTTTATAATTTGGTGCTCAAAAGTATGTACAGAGTTTGTACTATTTGGTGTACTGAAAACCCCTCCCTATAGAGATTATCTCTCGAATCCGTTTATAGTGACGTTCCTTCCGGAAATATGTGATTAATCATCTTTTCAAAATGCGATTTGACTTACTCATTTCTCATTACTACTGTTTGTAAAGTGGCATTTCTCCAGCTGCTGAATTGTTGAATGTATAAAAACAGCGTACACGAGCATAAATACGTTTTGTCAGTGAACGGAATATGTGTGGTGAAGACCTACTTTTTATTGGCAAAGCTTCCAAATCGTTTTTCATTCCGGCTCGGCTGAAGTCATGTTCGCATTCATTTACTAGGACACGTGTTTACCTTTAAGGGATTCTCAGAGTAAAGAAAATGTCAGTTTCGGAAATTATGAAATAATTTTGGGGATTGATAGTAAAAGGGAAATGTTATGAGCGATTCATGACAGCATCCAGCGTATTGGTGCTCACTGTATTACAGTCTTGCGGTCTGGTTACCCTATCGTTAGACGAACATTGAAAGCTTTTCTTTGGTAAGCAACTTTTTTGTATTTAACGAGTTTTGTCGATAGGACTTGTGTCATGCTCCGCGCTCCAACATGGCAAAAGTGACGCAGCAAAAGTTTCGACGATTTTTTGCATTTTTTTCTGTGGCATGACATTTTCAGATGTTGCAGCATTGAGAAGTTCAGGTGGCGCATGATAAGTGACGCATTATACCATGTTAGTCATTGGATCCACTCGGTACTGGTCCTAGGATTTGGATTTTTTGAATTACGGACTATTACCCGCTCAGGCCGACCAAACCATATTTCCCTCCGGAAAGGATAAAGGATAAAGTCTTTGGGAGTTAATCAATCCCGTCTAAGGGATGCACCCCGCATTCCCATCTCATTCATAATCGTAGTGGCGTATTGAGTGCTAATGTGGCCCATACAATGGCTTGCGGTATCCAGCTGAGGTACATACAAGTCAATGCTTTTATCCTCCCAGACGTAACAGTTACCCAGTTTGAGCAATTAACCGACCCCGGAGCGATGGAAAGCTTAATTGGCTCAGGTGGATATCAACCCGGGATTCGAATCGCCGTGACCATGCATGTGAGATAGGGCGCCATTTGCCACTACACCACTTCTGTTCATGGGCCAATCAATGTATGAGCTACGTACACCTAATAATGCCACTAAAACTTTGAGTAGAAGTCGGATGCAAGAGAGAACTCCTAAAGCGCTATTTTTCAACGCTGGAGGATATTCTTCATTTTTCATTATTTTATAGTAGTCTCAAAAATGGTTCGAAATTAGTTAACTCGTTAAGCGTTGAGCGCGATATGTCACACTTCTCCGTGATTCCATTCTTTAATCTCAGAATTGTTCCGAGCACTGGTTCATAGAAAGACTTTTTTCATTGAAGTTGTTTAGTCATGTTGAGCGGTACACTTGAAAGTTCAACGAGCTCTGAAGGCTTCGCTGGTGGTACGCAGTTTGGAACTCAAGGCACTGGGAACAAGGTTAGAATACAATCTATTGAGCGATACGTTTTTTTTTCCAGCGGGCTCATACATGGAGATAAGAATTCGTGTTTTCTAATTTGAACATAAGTAGGAGGCCTCCAGTAGTGTTACATCCATGTCTGTTTACTCTTCATGAAAAATTCCACTTAGCATAAAACACAGAAATATCACTTAGGAGGTTAGCAGGTTGACAGTAGTCAAATAAAGAGTGTCCGCAAGAAGCCATAGTGGCTTGACAGGGGCACAGCCTGCATGAAAGGCTTAGATTACTACTCACAGCATCGCACATACCACTGCAGAGCAGGGGCTCAGATGTTGATGCATACATGAAAAAGGTGACGTAATATGTTTGACATTATGTTTCAAACGGTTATTTGGTTCGAAACTATTCAGTAAAATAAGGGATTGAAATGTTTGATTGTAACAAAAAGAGGAGTGATGTCTGAATGCAGTACATGTGATGTGCTCTGCTTCAAATAACACGTATGGTTTTGCAGGTCAGCATCGATACATTTGTGAACAAATTCATCGATCATGGCCAAAAGGTTAGTTGCTTGCAAAAGGATGTCCAGAGAGTAGGGTTATACTTCTAATAAAACGGAGGTTTGTAAAAAATACTAGTTAAGGTCTTCGGAATGGCAATATTTGTATTCTCATATGATTTTATTAGCATTATATGCGTGCGAAAAAGCACACCAATCAGTTCCACGCTAGTTTTGTTTCAGTAGGATAGGAGCCGTTAAAGTCCTTTCACGTAAAGTTCATGTGAAAGGTAAATTTCTGCAGAAGAAGTATGCTATTACTCCAAAGGACATGGGACTGTACTTTCTATATTGAAGACCACATGTAGCTGTTAGCTATGCTCTCATTATTTCACGTGTTTCTGTGATTAGAAAGAATTTCCCGATAATCATGGTGGGTGCCACAAAATCATGGAGTTTTTATTGCATGGCGTAAGCTTTGCTTATGCGGAGTTCCAGTTAAGATACTCAAGATATTCACTCAGTTGGGAGCCTCACTTGTTTTTGTGGCACACTAAAATAGGTTCACCGATTTTGCCATTTGTCATTTTTGTGTGCAGCAAAAAGTCCCCTGAACTTGTGCAGCAAAAAGTCCCCCTGAACTTTGTTGACTGTATCTATAGTAATGGTATGGAAAAATATTGTTCAAATCTGTCGTTTGTGTAGAGCCTATCGCTTTGATATGTCAGAGTTATAGGCACGCAGTCCATAGCTTTTGCACTACTTCAAGCTGCTTTGGCTTTTCGGGAATATTCCAGCACAAAAAGTCCTACTGCCCACAACCGCCGTATTTGACTAAACTAGGACAGGGCTTCTGACAGTGAACTGCTTCAACAACTGAAACAACGGTCCTGACGACACTGACGAATCAACTACTGAAACAAATCCGAATGGATAAGATAGGTGTGGTATCCTCTTATCGAACGGCTTGTTCGCGTATCGCGAAGGGCCTACGGACTACTTGAACTCGGTTCCTTTAAATTTGCCGGATGCGTCATTTTTCTGCCCTCGTCTGGCGCACTCCCGTTTGATGTGGTCTTTGCGTGTTGTGCTCGCCTGTCCAATGGGGCCCCCACCACCACCGCCGTAGGCTTCACCCGGGGTGTTTTTCTCTGGGCTCTAGCCTCTTGCCGTCAGAGATGCAGAGAAAGTTCAAGTAGTCACGTAACCATCGCGAAGTGATGGGTGATTGGAGCGCACAATGTGTGAGTCGGATCTGCGATGGATACTTGGATGGTACTGATTACTCCTCGTGAAACCTCGTTATCCTTATGAAACCCCTATCACTGAACACGCTCTGCAAAACGAGAAAAGGCTAAGAAATAACCAAAACAAAGAAAAAAACAGGCATTATTTCGAGAAGCCTTGAGGCGGACCGGATAAAATGCAGGTTAAAGCCGCGAGACAACTAAAAAAGTTTTGCCTCCGTTGCATTGGTTCCGTTGGAAGAATGTGGGAGTTAAAGGTCTTGTCTTTAAAAACTGTTTGACTGTTTCGAAGTTTCGGAAATTTTTTTATATAAATGCATTGTTTCAGACGAGGAGTACATCGTAGACTGTGAAATAATTTCAAAAGGAAGAATAGGGATAACGTTCTTTTCTTGACAGGTTTCACCTTAGTTTCACAAGATATGTGAATTGCACGACATGTACTATTAATCAATCATCTCCATTTGCTTATAGAGGAGAAATTGACAGCAGGTTGCAGAACACAGTCTTCCTTCCGTTGTCGATAACTTTTTTGTGGGTCTGTCGATGTGGGTCATTCGCGGAACGTATAACTTGAACTTTTCGATTTAAACGATTGAAAAATGGTGCTGGAACTGTTCAGGTCTATCTTGCAGGAATTGGTCAATAGTAGACACGGAATATATGAATTTTATTCATTCATTCACCTATCGGTCGGCTTGCCCGGCTAACGCCGGGCTTCCCTCCTTTGACGAAGTTGTAGTGATCGACTAAATCTCCACTCTTTTGTGACAAATAATATTTTCCTGTATACGAAGTTTGACGCTGGGCTAACAGAGCAGTGCAAATGGTATTCAGCGTAATTCGGTGCTTACTTGGAAACTCAATTGGAAGTCTTGATCTTTTGCTCTTTTCCTTAAAACCACGCGGGCCGCCCGGCTAACGCCGGGCTTCCCTCCTTCCTACAACAGGGTTGTGGAAATCGGCAAACCGGCTTATCATCTTAAAAACCAGCGAAGGTTCAGCTGGTAGGCGGCCAAAGCCCTGAATGGTACTTACAAATGTTGTCGAGTCATAATAATACCATAACAAATGTCTTTAATGAACTTCTTCCCTTCTTTTTCGTAGGTTATATCGCTGTTCCGCTGAGCGAGAGTATTGATTATCAAATGCCTTTGAGGAGGTAGCTACTTTTCTCTACAGATACTCCGTTAATTGAGAATCCAAGATTTTCAACCGTTGGATAAGTTCTGCCAAGAATGATATCAAAACAGAAGGAAACCGGGGTCCAGAATCTTCTCCCCGAAAACGGCGTCGCGCACGCCGCACCCGCCGCGTATCCCAGAATTGCGATGGAAATTTGGAGCGTGCAATTTGTGAGGCAGGAAGTCCTTGTATGATTTGAACTGGCTGGCCGCTCTCTTCAATTCCGATGCGGTCTTGATCGTCGCTAAAATAGGGGGGGGGGCAATCTCGCTAATCAAGTCTAATAAACATAAAAAGAAAAAGAAACAGAAAAAATGATCAAGTCTTACAAAAAAGGGCAATCAATGAAAACTTTTGCGTCCTATCGACCGATCGATTCGATCGATTGGCCGGGAGGCGGGGTGAGTACGGTAATTGCAGTTACATTTGACGCATGCCGCAAGGGAGAATGCCACAATCGGGGAGAAGTTCTCCTACCCAGGGATACCGTGATTTTCCAATAAATCGCAAACGCTGATGGGGTAGCTGTCGTAATCTGACAGCA